CCTCTTCTGTGGAGTCAACCATTTTTCCACAGTAGCCCAGAAGGGACAAACTAAACACTGGCTCTAGACAGGGGCGGTAATGTTTTTTGCGAGTTTTGCTGCCATTGTAGTTTCTCCTACATGCTTGCAATGGAAAAGTGAGGTGAGGATGTTGTAATCCTATGTGCTTTCAGTGTGTATGACATTTGGTCGCCATGGTGGCTCCAAGGTTCCTTCGATCCTACCAGTCTGTATGACACAGGCTGCATTCAGGGAACTCAGATACAGTAAAATCAGCTCCTGTATGATTTTCCATTTTGTGGTTGCCATGGTCACACGGCGAACAGCAAGTTGAAAAGGTTGAACCGTCATAGACTCTTATGACAGCAGCACAAAAGCCATGCGCTTAACAGGTTGTGTTTACTTTAGAAACAATGGAGGTGCTGCAGTACTTCCATAAACTGTTTTAGGCCCTTACACTCTTTTGGTCTTTAAGTCTTTTGACCATTACTCTTTAACTCTTTTGATCGCTAACTCTTTTGACCATTACTTAGGCCTCAGGCCTAGTCAAGACTGCACATGAATATTGGCAAAAAGCCTCTTACCTTTTGTTGCGGCAGTCGTCTCTTTTCTTCCAACAGAACAACCCTGTCCCAACATAACCATTCTCCAAGTTGTATTAGGATATGTACCATACTATACTGGCAGCAACGGCTGACTGGTTTGTTACACAGAACTATCTGGGACGTCATCCCTGGAAACTGTTTGGAAAAGGGCAGGCACTTAAAATACTCAGCAGGTGATTGGATGAACCATCTGTCTGTCCCTGTTTATCACAGGCAAACTTCAACCAGATCAATTAACCATTAAAAGGTAATCAAACTCTTACTGAAGCAGCTGCCATTGTTGTTTAACAAACAGTGTCTTCTCGCTGCATCACACCTAGTGCCCACCCCCATAGCTGCCAGTGTTTCCTCAAAGGACGCTGATTGTAACTTGCTTTGCAAGATTAGTCTGAAACCCCTTTTACAGTCTGCAGCCATGGGAGTAGATCTGTGAGGCTGTGGTGCAGAGGCAGAGCAGGTCGTCCCCTAATCGGAAGGTTGTTGGTTCAATCCTAGGCTCCTCCTGCCACATGTCAATAATCCTTGAGCAAGATATTGCCTTGCAAGATATTGCCTTGAGCTGTGCATCGGTGTGTGAATGAGAGTCACAGCTCTATTGAGCCACATATCCCCATAAACTAAAGTAGCAATGACTTCATGAGCTTCTTTTATAATAAAATTATTACTATTAGAGAGAAAATTAATCACCAACTGCCATCAACAGCTATCAGTGGCTCTCCAAGTTCAGGAACTTTAACTAATGTAAACTCAGATATATATTTAGACTGTTTTTTTGCTATCAATCTTCATCAGTTAACTTCAATAATTTCTACAACGAAGCCATCAACCTGTCTGTTAGACCCGATCCCAACTAGGCTGCTTAAAGAAGTTGTACCCTTAATTGGCACTTCTTTACTGGATATGATTAATTTTTCTTTATTATTAGGATATGTACCACAGTCCTTTAAAGTAGCTGTAATTAAACCCCTTCTTAAAAAGCCCACTCTTGACCCAGGGGTTTTAGCCAATTATAGACCAATTTCTAACCTTCCCTTCCTCTCTAAGATTCTGGAGAAAGTAGTCGCCAAACGGTTGTGTGACTTTTTACATAACAATAGTTTATTTGAGGATTTTCAGTCAGGTTTTAGAGTTCATCACAGCACAGAGACAACTCTGCTTAAAGTTAATAATGACCTTTTGATTGCTTCAGACAATGGACTTGTCTCTGTACTTGTATTATTAGATCTTAGAGCTGCATTTGACACCATTGACCATGATATTCTTTTACAGAGACTTGAGCATCAAATTGGCATTAAAGGAACCGCACTAAGCTGGTTTAAGTCATATTTATCAGATCGTTCGCAGTTTGTACATGTTAACGATGAATCGTCAATAAATTACTAGTTAGTCATGGAGTTCCACAAGGTTCTGTACTTGGACCAATACTATTTACTTTATATATGCTCCCTTTTGGCAACATTATTAGGAATCACTCCATTAACTTTTACTGTTATGCAGATGATACGCAGTTATATCTATCGACCAAGCCCGATGAAACTAATCAATTATCTTAATACAAACATGTCTTAAGGACATAAAATCCTGGATGAGCTGCAATTTTCTGATGTTAAACGAAATTCTTGTTCTTGGCCCCAAAAACCTTAGAGACTCACTGTCTAAATATATAGTTACTCTAGATGGCATAACCTTGGCCTCTAGCACCACTGTCAGGAATCTTGGAGTTATCTTTGATCACGATTTGTCATTTAATTCCCACATGAAGCAGACCTCTAGGACTGCCTTCTTTCATTTACGTAATATTACAAAAATTAGACGGATCCTATCACAGACAGATGCAGAAAAACTAATCCATGCATTTGTTACTTCTAGGCTGGATTACTGCAACTCTTTATTATCAAGTTGCCCCAATAAGTCCATTAAAACGCTCCAATTAATTTAAAATGCTGCAGCACAAGTAGTGACAGGAACTAGAAAAAGAGATCACATCTAGCTTCTCTGCACTGGCTCCCTGTAAAATTTAGAATAGAATTTAAAATTCTCCTCCTCACCCATAATAATAATAATAATAATAATAATAATAATAATAAATAATAATACATTTTATTTATAATGCCCTTTTCATCAAAAGATCTCAAAGTTCTACAGGTTAGAAACACAAAGAGATAAGCACTAAATAAGAAAAGGAGTAAAGAATAAAAAATAAAAAAGGTTTTTAAAAAAAAACATCTAAAAGGGACCAAAAGCTTTGCTAAAAAGAAATGTCTTAAGATCCTTTTTAAAACAGTCAGTGGATTGTGGTGCCCTCAAGGTGTCAGGGAGGGCATTCCACAGATGTGGGGCGGCAACACAAAAGGCCCTATCTCCCATGGTCCTGAGTCTGGTTCTGGGTATGCGGGGGAGGTTTGAGTGAGTGGAGCGGAGGGAGCGTGTTGTGTTGGGGGTTGATGAGTTCTTTGAGGTGGGGGGGATGCATCGATGTGTGAGGAGAGAAACCTTGTAGTCAATCCTGGTGGAGACGGGAAGCCAGTGGAGTGAGTGGAGAATGGGGGTAATGTGCTCATGTTTCCGCACTCTCATCAGGATCCTAGCTGCAGAGTTTTGGATGTACTGAAGCCTCTGCAGACTCTTGCCAGGAATCACAAATAAATCCTATAAAGCTCTTCATGGTCAGGCCCCTTTATATCTTAAAGAGCTCATAGTACCCTATTACCCCACTAGAACACTGCGTTCTCTGAATGCAGGGCTACTTGTGGTTCCTATAGTCTCTAAAAGTAGAACAGGAGCCAGAGCCTTCAGTTATCAAGCTCCTCTCCTGTGGAACCAGCTTACAGTTGTGGTTCAGGAGGCAGACACCCTCACCACATTCAAGAGTGGGCTTAAGACATTCCTCTTTGATAAAGCTTATTGTTAGTGCTGGCTCACGTGAGTCCTGAACCATCCCTTAGTTATGCTGCTATAGGCCTAGACTATTGGGGGATTTCCCATGGTGCACTGAGCCCCTCTCTTCCTCTCTCTTTCTGCACTCATTCATGTCCCATTAATGCATGTTACTAACTTCACTTCTTCCCCGAAATTCTTGTGCTTTCTCGTCTCGCAAGTTCTCATGGATCCTGGTGGAGCCTCCTGCCATGGTCCTGCTTGACTGCCATTGCAATATCACTGATATTAGTGTTATTATTATTATAAGCATTATTATAGCTACGGTTACTATTGTTGCTGTTGACACTGCTCATTGTCCCCCATCGTTGCTGTTGTCATGTTCATTATCATCAGTCACTACTATTAGTGTAGTTGTTGCTATTGTTGTTGCTGTGCACATGTCTGTCTGTCTGTCTGTCTGTCTCTCTGTCTGTCTCTCCAAGAACTCCAAGATTCCTGACAGTGGTGCTGGAGGCCAAGGTAATACCGTCTAGAGTAACTATATCTTTACACAGTGTTCTCAGAGGTGTTTGGGGCCAAGTACAAGAACTTCCATTTTTTCTGAGTTTAATTGCAGCTCATCCAGGTTTTTATGTCCTTAAGACTTAGATAACTGATTAATTTCATCGGGCTTGATCGACAGATATAACTGGGTATCATCTGCATAACAGTGAAAGTTAATGGAGTGATTCCTAATAATATTGCCTATGGCAGAGGTGTCAAACTACCGGCCCACAAGAGGGTTCAATCTGGCCCGCAGGATGACTTTGCAAAGTGTGAAAATTACAGAGAAGACAGAGTAGCGAACATATGCTGAGACCAAGAACTAAACAGCAGATGGCAACAATGCGCTATCTGTTCTTCTTTTGCTGTCCAAATTACCCTCTGGGGCACCATCATGTTATAAGAGTAGCGTAGCTCCTTTAAGGAATAGAGCAGTGCGTGATGTGCGAGCGCAACGTGTGTGGTAGAGCGAGAGAGAGCGAGCGGGAGTGTGTGAAAGAGTGTGACGGTGAACAGCAGCAGAGCAGCGAGAGACATGGGTTAGCCCTAAGTTATCAGGTTTAGCAGTAAATGTACATTGTGAGTTACAGTTGTTGGTGAATAAAGGCCGCCGCTTCTCAAGACCAAAGTGGAGCCTCCGTATGTGTTGTTCACCAACTGCTGAGGATAAAGTGAAGTTTGTGAAAACATGCATGCTGAAGGCTGCAGAAATCATGTGCCCTGAGAAGCGACAGGCTTTTGCTAACATCAGTCTGATGAGAAACACTGTTGCAGACAGGATTTCAGATCTGTCGGCAGATTTGGACAGCCAACAGACAATTGATGAGAGCGCGGACATTACAGATGTTGCTCAGCTGGCCATATTCAATCGTGGTGTTGATGAGACTTTGACCGTCACCAAAGAGTTCCTTGAGTTGGTGCCTATGACGGACACCACAACAGCCGATGACATTTTCATCTGTCTCGTTGTAGCGCTGGACTTGATCGGACTAGACTGGGCTCGTGGTGTCAGCATGGCTACGGACAGGGCACCATCAATGATTGGGAAAAAAGCAGGTGTTGTGACAAAATTCAGAGAGTAAGTACAGGCCGCAAACGGAGGACATGGTTTTTGGACATTTCACTGTATAGAATGTACAGAATGCACTTCCATGACACTTCTCATGTCATGGAAGTGGTTGTCCGACGAGCTTGGACACATTTTATCATATCTCTTGCCGGGTTACCCCAAACTGACAGTCCTTGCTGTAAAAGTTTTGTGCTTGTTTGGGACTACCTACCTTTGTGAACAGGTTTTCTCTGTAATGAGCATCAACAAAACAAAGTTGCTCTCAAGGCTCACACATAAGCATTTCAATGACATTCTGAGATTGGCTGCTACTCAGGATTTGATGCCTGATATTGATGCACTCGTAAAGGCTAAAAGATGTTTCAGGAGCAAATTTAACAGTGAGTAAACCTACTTCATGTAAAATCCTGCTTCAGACACTTTTGCACACTGAAGAATACAGCTCTTTGAAAATGCATACTTACTGTGTGAATGTTTAAAGACACTGAACATTGTGTGCTAATATGTCAGTCAGCAGCTTCAGTACAAAAGAGTTGGTTTGGTGGAACTCTATTGCTCATGCACTGTATAAATTGTATACATGTATAAGACAGTAGGATAACTTAACCTTTCTTAATAGCTCCCACTTCAGTTTGTATGGTGCGGTGAGTCAGTTCAGGTGGTCAGGATTACTGCACAGATGTGGCAATGTATGTAAATTTAAAATAATTTCTAGATCTTGACAAGTTGTTTTAATCATAAAGTAAAATACTATATCGTTCAGTTCCAGGTACATTAGTTACTTAATGTTTTGTGGCTTTGTAGATCCACATCCACTGTGATCTTTAAATTGTAATGCACATGTGTACATGATAAACTGAGGCATAATATTGTTGAAATTGCACTTATTTTCCTTAAGAAAATTCAGGTTGAAAGTTCATTAAATGTGAACATTTTCAGAATGTATTTCTATTTCTTTGCACTAAAACAAAGAGAAAAAATAGGGTTTTTTGCTATTTATAGGTAATAATGTTTTAATTTTACTGGTCCGGCCCACTTAAGGTCAAATTGGGCTGTATGTGGCCTCTGAACCAAAATTAGTTTGACACCCCTGGCTTAAGGGAAGCAAGCAAGCAAGCAAGCAAAGTGAATAGAATTGGTCCAACCACAGAACCTTGTGGAACTCCATGACTAACTTTAATGATGATGTGAAATGTTTGGGAGTCTCTATCAAACAAACATGCTTTCTTAAATCTGGAGAACAAGATTTGTAAAAGGACTGTACTTGTTTAGCACCTTTCTAGTCTTCTGGTATTTGGATTGGAGTGCTACGGTACGTACTGACTCACTCCGGTTACTTCCTGCTCTGTGTACACTGTTTGGTGCTGTAGCTCTGTCAGTGAACGCTAAATATAAATTAGTTTTACTCGTTACAGCGGTTATTACCCGCTTAACATTTAAACGTAGACTAGTTCTACTTAAACACTGGAGTTTCTCCCTCTTTTAGGGACTTTTCACTACTTTCAAAGTTTTCATACACTCTAGTTTCATTAGCATTAGCAGTTAGCTATGGCTTCTCCCTCTCCCTCTCCTCGTCCTGCTCAGTGTGTCAGATGTTCAGTTATTCCTCTGCCTCCTTTAAAGATAATGGTACCTGTATTAAATGTAGTTTATTTACGCGCTGGAGGCGAGGCTTAGTGAGTTAGAGGAACGGCACCGCACCACTGAGATATCTTTAGCCGCTATAGTTAGCCAGCCCCCAGTAGCCGGTGCGGTCCGACCGAAGGTAGCTTCGTTAGCTCTGTAGATCCCCGGTAGTTCCCGGCAGCCGGGAAGACAGGGAGGCTGGGTGACTGAGCGAAGGAAGACTAGAACGGCGAAGCCCACAGGTCACCACCAACCGCTTCACGTTTCTAATACATTTTCCCCTCTCAGCGATACACCCGCTGAGGAACCAACTCTGGTTATTGGCAGCTCCATAGTCAGAAACGTGAAGTTAGCGAAGCCAGCGGCCATAGTTAAATGTATCCCTGGGGCCAGAGCGGGCGACATTGAATCAAATTTAAAACTGCTGGCTAAAGATAAACGTAAATACAGTAAGATTGTTATCCACGTCGGCGGTAACGACACCCGTTTACGCCAATCGGAGGTCACTAAGATTAATGTGGAGTCGGTGTGTAACTATGCTAAGACAATGTCGGACACCGTAGTTTTCTCTGGACCCCTCCCCAATGTGACCAGTGATGACATGTATAGCCGCATGTCGTCATTCCACCGCTGGCTGTCGAGGTGGTGTCCAGCAAACGATGTGGGCTTCATTGATAACTGGAAGCCTTTTTGGGGAAAACCTGGTCTGATTAGGAGAGACGGCATCCATCCCACTTTGGATGGAGCGGCTCTCTTATCTAGAAATATGGCGAAGTTTATTTCTAAAACCTGACAGTCCAGAGTTAGGACCAGGAAGCAGAGCTGCTGTCTTACACACTCCTCTGCGCTTTCTTTAGAACAGTCACCCACCCAAAACCCCATAGAGACTGTGTCTGTCCCCCGACCACCTAAACTATTTAAAGAAATAAAAACAAGAGGAGTTCAACATAAAAATCTAATAAAAATTAAAACCAACTCCTCAGTAGCACAAAATAAGAGAATGAAATGTGGGCTGTTAAATATCAGGTCTCTGTCCTCTAAAGCTGTTCTAGTGAATGAATTAATATCAGATTATGATATTGATTTACTTTGTCTTACTGAGACCTGGTTGTCCCACGAGGAGTATGTTAGCCTAAATGAATCCACCCCCCCAGTCATATTAATACTCACATTCCTCGAGGCACAGGCCGAGGAGGTGGAGTAGCAGCTATATATGATTCGAGCGTTTTAATGGACCCTAAACCTAAACTAAATTATAATTCATTTGAAAGCCTTGTTCTTAGTCTTTCTCACCCAAACTGGAAAACACTGCAGCCAGTTCTATTTGTTATAGTGTACCGCGCTCCTGGACCGTACTCTGATTTTATATCTGAATTTTCAGAGTTTCTATCAAGCTTAGTCCTTAAATCAGATAAAGTAATTATTGTAGGTGATTTTAATATTCATGTGGATGTTGACAATGACAGCCTTAGTAATGCATTTATATCATTAATAGACTCAATTGGCTTCTGTCAGAGTGTAAATAAACCAACTCATTGTTTTAATCACACTCTTGACCTTGTTTTATCATATGGCATTGATATTGAACATTTAATAGTCTTCCCACATAATCCTTTCCTATCTGACCATTATTTAGTAACTTTTGAATTCATACTATTAGATTATAAGCCATTAGGCAAAACTTCCTACAGCAGATGTTTATCTGACAGTGCTGTAGCTAAATTTAAGGAGGAGATTCCTTCAGTGTTTAATTCAATGCCATGTCTGAATTTAACAGAGTCCTATAACAACTTTAGTCCCTCTGAAATTGATAATCTTGTCGATAGTGCTACAGGCTCACTACGATCAACATTAGACTCTATCGCTCCTATAAAAAGGAAATTATTAAAACATAGGAGACTAGCACCTTGGTATAACCACCAAACCCGCCAGTTAAAGCAAATAGCTAGGAAATCTGAAAGGAAATGGCGCTCTTCCAAATTATCAGAATATCGCTCAAATTGGCAAGATGATCTTAAGATTTATAGAAAGGCCCTCCGTAATGCCAGAGGAGCCTATTACTCAGCACTAATAGAAGAAAATAAGAACAACCCTAGGTTCCTCTTCAGCACTGTAGCCAGGCTGACAGAGAGTCACAGCTCTATTGAGCCACATATCCCCATAAACTTAAGTAGCAATGACTTCATGAGCTTCTTCTATAATAAAATTATTACTATTAGAGAAAAAATTAATCACCAACTGCCATCAACAGTTATCAGTGGCTCTCCAAGTTCAGGGACTTCTGTCAATGTAAACTTAGATGTATATTTAGACTGTTTTTCTGCTATCGATCTTCATCAGTTAACTTCAATCATTTCTTCATCGAAGCCATCAACCTGTCTGTTAGACCCGATCCCAACTAGGCTGCTTAAAGAAGTTGTTCCCTTAATTGGCACTTCTTTACTGGATATGATTAATCTTTCTTTATTATCAGGATATGTACCACAGTCCTTTAAAGTAGCTGTAATTAAACCCCTTCTTAAAAAGTCTACTCTTGACCCAGGGGTTTTAGCCAACTATAGACCGATTTCTAACCTCCCGTTCCTCTCTAAGATTCTGGAGAAAGTAGTCGCCAAAGAGTTGTGTGACTTTCTACATAACAATAGTTTATTTGAGGATTTTCAGTCAGGATTTAGAGTTCATCATAGCACAGAGACAGCTCTGGTTAAAGTTAATAATGACCTTCTGACTGCTTCTGACAATGGACTTGTCTCTGTACTTGTATTATTAGATCTTAGTGCTGCATTTGACACCATTGACCATGATATTCTTTTACAGAGACTTGAGCATCAAATTGGCATTAAAGGAACTGCCCTAACCTGGTTTAAGTCATACTTATCAGATCGTACTCAGTTTGTACATGTTAACGATGAATCCTCCATAAATACTAAAGTTAGTCATGGAGTTCCACAAGGTTCTGTACTTGGACCAATACTATTTACTTTATATATGCTCCCTTTAGGCAACATTATTAGGAATCACTCCATTAACTTTCACTGTTATGCAGATGATACGCAGTTATATCTATCAATCAAACCCAATGAAATTAATCAATTATCTAAATTACAAACATGTCTTAAGGACATAAAATCCTGGATGACCTGCAATTTTCTGATGTTAAACTCAGAAAAAACCGAAATTCTTGTTCTTGGCCCCAAAACCTTAGAGACTCATTGTCTAAAGATATAGTCACTCTAGATGGCATTAACTTGGCCTCTAGCACCACTGTCAGGAATCTTGGAGTTCTCTTTGATCAGGATTTGTCATTTAACTCCCACATAAAGCAGACCTCTAGGACTGCCTTCTTTCATTTACGTAATATTAGAAAAATTAGACACATACTA